AAAAAGATTAGATTACAGTTCTCATACCTTAATCATTATACTTGGAATATTCCTGCATTAACAGAGGAGTTTTAGAGGGACACGTCATATCCAAACCATAACACAGGCCTCACCCCTCCCTTTTACCCAAGAAAGAAGTATAAATAGAAATTGAACATTAAGCCTTTCAGGAAAAAATGGCAGAGTGTTCATAGTTCATGTTCAAAATGTGGACTATAGTGCAAGTCAGAATATATATGTATAAGGATATATAAAAAAATGCACATCAGATGTTGTCCTGGATATTTTTGGAGGTGCAAATATAAATCTCAATTTGATTCTAACCTTAAAAATATTATAGTATAATGGTATAAGTATGTATTATAATAATAGTATAATATGTTAGTTTAAGTATAAAATACTCTCTCTGTGTGTGTATGTGTGTGTATTTTTCCCTTCCTTGAAATTACTGTGGGATTAAAGGAAAAAAAAACATGTTTTTAAAAAATATTTATTTTTTATTTTGTAGTTGGACACACAATACCTTTATTTCACTTATTTATTTTTATGTGGTGCTGAGGATGGAGCCCAGGGTCTCGCACGTGTGACACAAGCATTCTGCCACTGAGCCACAGCCTCAGCCCAAGAAAAAAACATTATAAAATACACTTTTGGTGGAGCAAAAGGAGGGAGAACTAAGAAGGTATACCTTTCTTTAAACTGTCTGTTAAAAATAATTAGCTTGTTTACTAATATTATGATCAGAGGGAAAATGCAGATGCTTTTGTCATTGTGATGAATGTAATAAAATATTTTATATTTAGATGATTTGTTTCATTTTTACATTTGAGCTGCCTGCCAAGACAGTTCCAATTTGTGAAGTAATCTCCAAACATTTATTTCTTTGTCTCTAATTTGAAGGAGTCTGGCAATATCTCTGATTCAGATGGGTAGTTTGTATATTTAACCAGTCAATGCTAAATTACTTTTAATAAAATCCTTTTGGACTGCTGCTGTCATTGATGATAACAGTGAGATATATACATATATATTCTCTGCCTGGTTAAATTGCCTGAGATATTTTAGATCATTCTGAGGAAAATAATAAATGGGAGAAGTAAAATCAACATATGAAAATAAATGCCTTCAATTTTAATTTGTTCTATGTATACAGTAGCTCCCATCCATTAGTTATTCTATTTAAATTATAATGAATTGGCACAGAAGGATGTATGTCATTTGAAATTGGGTCTGGTATGCAGAAGAAACTAAAGAGGAGAAATAAGAAACTACTATCAAGTTCTTATTCAGTTCTCTTATGGATACACAGGATAGCAGGTGGATAAATTATATCACATCTTATTTGTTTGTCCTGCTACTGACATAAGAACAGTAAGAGTAAAATCATGTGAATATGGCTTCATTCTTCATCTATACCCATGTATTCACTAAATACTTGATACATGTCAGACATTGTTGGAGGCGCAAATATAAATCTCAGTTCAATTCTAACCATAAGAATATTATAGTATAATAGAATAGATATACATCATCATAATAGTATAAGTATGTAAGTATACTATATGTATAAAATATCTATAATAGAAAGACTATAATTATAGCAATTTTATATATTAATCTTATGCATTAAGACCTAAATTTAGATTTAAGATCTAAAGTCTCATCTTCAGTGAAGCCTTCCCTGATTCTCCCAAGCTAAGTTGTCTGTTTCTTCGCACATGATTTGCAATCAGAGTTTCTGTAATGATCATCAATAGCAATACAGTTGATGCTTCTCTTTCTTACTGAATTTAAGGCTCTTGGGGGAAGAGAGGGGACTCAATACTCTTTGTACCTCCACTGGGACTATGTCAGAGAGAGCTGGCAACAGTGTTTGCTAAATGAGGAAATAAATGAATCAATAAATAATGCAAGATAGAATTTCTGAGGGGAATAGATGAAGTCATAAGAAAGGGGCAAAGTAATAAGGAACTTTGAGTTATGGTTAACAAAACTCTTGGGATGTGTTGTGAAATAGTGAAAAAAAAAACATGGGCTTTCATGTTCCCTAGGAAAGCTAATAACTAATAGCTAAATTTCATTAAGTGCTTAGTTACGTGCCAGGCACTTTTCTAGGTGTTTTATGTGTAGCATCTTATTTATTTCTCACAGTAAGTAGACTCAATTATTTCCATTTTACTGAAGAGGAAACTGAAGCACAGAGGTAACTGTCGTATGTAAGATTATGCAGATGTGCTCTATATGTGTAATATGAATTGTAATGCATTCTGTTATCATATATAACAAATTAAATTTTTTTAAAACAAAGATTGTGCAGGTAGAAGGAAGCAGTGAAACCATGATTCAAGTCTAGAAAGTCTTAATTGCTAGTTAGCTATATCAATGTTATCTGTCCAAGCCTTAGTTTTAATCTATAAAATAAGTTCTGTAGAACCACCCTTATCAAATTGTCACAAATCAACAGGTAAAAGTATATATAAACTGCCTAAGATAGTGCATAGCAAAATCTACATTCCAAGAAGTGTTATTTCCTCACTTTTTGTCAATCAAAAGTTCTTTTAGAAATAAATTTTTAACATGTTAGATAACAAGGTTAGGACTATACTTCTTATGCTATCAAGGGAAGACTTGAAATTGTTCCCCTGGACTCATTTAGCATTGGAATTCCCATGGGGAGACCAAGTCAGTTAGCATCACAGGAATACTAGAGGACAAAATGCCCTATAGCCCATAAAGGAGTCAGTTTGACCCTGAGCATATTTGTATTTTTCCTCTTTCGTGTATAGTTCCAATCACAGCTGTGCACGTGAATGTGATGTGTGTTGATAATCTAAATAACAGATTGTAATGGTCAGTTTCATGTATCAACTTGATTGAGCAACAGTACCCAGATATATGGTGAAACATTATTCTGGATGCTTCGGTGAGAATACTTTTGGGTAGAATTTACTTTTAAATCATGGACTTTGAATAAAGTAGATTACACTCTATAATGTCAGTGGGCCTCATCTAGTCAGTTGAAGTCCTGAAGAGAACAGTAGAAATACCTACCAGAAGCAGAAGGGAATTTGGCCAGCAGGCAGCCTTAGAGACTGAACTGCAGAATTAGTTCTTCTCTGGTCTCCAGTCTGTCAGCCTGTCCTGCAGATTTTAGACTTGCCATTCTTCATAATTGCATGAACCAATTCCTTACAATAAATTTCTTTTGCCTGGTGCGAGGGTGCATGCCTGTAATCTCAGTAGCTTGGGAAGCAGGAAGGTTGCAAGTTCAAAGCCAGCCTCAGCAATTTAGTGAGTCCCTAAGAAACTTAACAAGACCCTGTCTCAAAATAAAAAGGGCTGGGAATGTAGTTAAGTGGTTAAACAGCCTTGGGTTTAATCCCAGAGGTGTTTTTGGTACCAAAATCAATCAATCAATCAATCAATCAATCAATCAATCTCTTTTTACACATATACCCATCTTATTGGCTTTATTTTTTGAGAGACCCTAATGGAAGGAATTCTCTGATTTTTAATTGAATGATCAATATTAGAATTTTGTAGTAGGAAATGTATATTATTGTTGAAATACTGAAGATATGCTTGTGTATAATCTCAAGTTTATTTCCTACTGTAAAACTAGTTAATCCATCTTCTGTGTTCTTTCCATTCAGTTGTATTTTGAGTGTGTGTGTGTGTGTGTGTGTGTGTGTGTGTGTGTGTGTGTGTGTGGTGCTGGGGATGAAACCCAGGATCCTTCATATGCTAGGCAAATGTTTTATCCCTGAGCTGCACTCTCAGCCCCATTCATTTGTACTTTGATTTAAAATATGTATTTATATTTATTGAAAATATATAATAGTCAATATAAGTTATAAATTATAAGATATATTGTCAGTTATAGAATAGCTTAAAAGTTCTCCCTGCAGATGAAGTTAGGCACTGGGGATAGGAAATGGGTGACACTCTTGGGGAAGAAAGTGCTGGGGTTAAAAACGTACAGTGTAGCTTCTTGACATCTATTTTTTTCTGATTAACTTGCTGCTCCAAAAGTTCTTAAGATTGTCATAAGACAACATAAGACCAATGATGGTCTTGAGACTATGCTTCGATTTACTTCAAAATTTCAAAAGAAATTGTCCCAGACAGTAATTGACCTAGGTATATGGAGTAAAAATACCTTTGAAGATAAAAATTTCATTTATCTGTGATTTGGTTGCACAATCTTGGCAGTTGGTTATAATATGTCAGTACTTCCCTAGTGACGTGGTATTCTATAGACATATGGAAAGTTAAAGGATACATACCACCTACTTTTATCCAGAGTAAATATCAGTTTTATTGAAAAAGAGTAATTTGCTCAAACAGTATGTTAAAATTGTTGTTTCTTATTGACATACAAACATCAATTATATTATGGAACAGAATGCAAAACATGCACATATTTGAGAAGTTCATTGACTATCCACCCCCAACCCCAACCCCCAGGACTGGGAATTGAAACCAAGGCCTTGCACATGCCAAACAAGTGCTTTACCACTGAGCTACATCCTCAGCCTTTGTTATTTTTTAATTTTTTATTTTGAGAGAGGATCTCACTAAGTTGTTCTGATTGTCCTTGAACTTGCTGTTCTTCTACCTCAGCCTCTTGAATAGCTGGGACCACAGGCATGCATCACTATGCTCCGCCCATACTTTACAAAACTTCTAAGAAAGTTTGCACTTATAGATGAGTGGCTTCTGGTGGTTTCCTAGCTCCATGAACCAGTGGTGCTTTCCACTGGTTTGTACTATAGCCCCCAAAACACCATATTGGTTCATGATATTTCTAATACTACATTTTAATATTATACTTTCACCATTCTCAGCAGTATGTTTTGAATGAAGAATTTTCAAAAACATGGTCTTCAACTAGTTTTAGAAAGTGATAAATATTAAAGAAAAGGGGAAGGTAGTAGCTCCATTTGAGATGAATTAAAAAATGAACCTACTCTCTTAAAGAAGAGTAACAGAAAGCCAGAGAGTTTTAATGACACTATTTTATTTCGCTTTTGCTTTTCTTTTCTACAAAAGCTCACCTTTTAGTAAATGTTTTAACTACAGCCTTTATTTTAGTTCTTATTTTAAGTGCAACAATTTATTGAGAACCTCTAATTCTAGGTCTCTACATGGGATTTCATAATTCTCCTTTCAGCAACTCTATGGGATAGACACAACAAATAACCTAGTAAATGGCACAGATTTGTCTTAGGTCTCCAAAGCCTAGGGTTTTGGCACATGGTCATGCAGACTCCCACCATCTTTGTTCTCCAGCTTTACCCAGTGAAGCTCCTTTGCTGGGCCGTAGACATGTTAGAGGTGAAGGTTTGTGTTCAAATAATGCTTTGCAGTTTGTTTCAAGAAAGTCCATGTTTCATGAGCCTGCAACAGAGGTAAACACAAGTATGGAAAACACATACTGCTTTGGTGATTCTGATTATCATGCAGATCTTCCTAAAAGGGGAGAAATATGATGGAAGAATTATATCCAATAGCGTGGATATAACCCAGGGCCTCATGCATACTCACAAGCCCTCTGCCACTGAGCTACATCCCCGTCCTTTTTATTTTAAGACAAGGTTTGGCTGGTTGCCCAGACTGGCTCGGAATTTGTGATCCTTCTGCCTCAACGTCCTGAGTTGCTCGGATTGCAGTATGCATCACTGCACTGCTATCTATTTGTTTTACGCTCAAATGTGTTGTAGCACTTGTGGGGGCTACAGTATGGACCGATATGGGAGTCTTGTTATGTTACAGAATCTGTCTGTTGATTACAGAACTGTTCTACAATCACAGGCAGGAGTGTGCTTGAAAATTTCAACATTCCATAAAGAAGACACAGTCTGCCAGCCTCTGTAATTATTTAATTTGCCAAATAAACAAATGTCTTGTTTCAATACTTCTAAATGATGCCTGTTGGAGGAAAACAGGCATAAAACTAGATGTGATATTCAAGCTGGTGGTTTTCATCAGCAAATGCTAAGCAGAAACAAGATCATCCTGGTAGAGCAGTTAAGACCCAGCCATGCAAGTAAGGATAGGACTGAGGCTACATGAAAACAAGAACATTCAACGTTTTATAACCTTATACAGCCCTCATGCCTGGTGATGGTGAGAGCCTGATATACATGGAAAGAAAGAATAAATAAGTGAATGAGAATTAATGAAATGATTTGTTGTATAGACTTTTCCCTTTAAATTGTTAAGTTGTAATAGAGAAATTGCGAGCAATTATAAATCCTCAGATAATTTAGCAATTTCATTTGGCTCAGAGTTTCCATGTTTTCTTCCATCAGAAAAGTACAGATGAGATAAAACTGGCTAATGCAAGTTTCTTCTTTATTTCTCTTGCAGTGGGAATGCAAATGAATAGGAAAATGTACAAAAGCCAAACAAATGAAGGAACAACATAAAAGACCTGGAGAATTATTACAGGGGAAAATTACCCACTGTACAACTGAGAGTAAATGACAATGGACCCACTATCCATTTATCCATCTAGGCAAACATGCAATCATTTATTAAGCCTTGATTGCATAACAGTCATTTTACTAGATCCAAAGGATAATTACCCTCATTGATAAGACATAGACATTACCTTTATAATCTAGATAGGGAAGTTGCATCATGAAAGAAATAATTCCAAAATTTCGAGAGCTATTCACAAAAGAGAGGGACAATTACTTCCTTGAAAAGAATGGGAAGACTTCAAAGAGGAGAGCACACTCAAGCTTGTTTTTTAAGCAAGAGATGGCATGTATTAAGTAAGAGCCACTTTAGGAAAAGGAAAGAGCATATAGCCCAGAACAGTTAGAGAGAAAAAATCGAGCCCAGGCTAGCAGTATGCTACCATCAGCTGATGCCCTGCCAATTTTAAAAGATAAATGGGGAAGGATGATTTGTTTCAAAGAGAAGTACCTGATGAGCCAGTGTGATTCCCCACCCATTGGAACTGTAATCTGGGTCCCAGTAATCTTGCAAGTATACATGTCTTTTGAGACGTAGGAACTGGTTTGCTGGGTCCTCCAACAAAAATGGCGCTCCCAATGCTCCTGCAATTCAGAGTCCAAGAGCATCACATCTTTTAGGGCAATAGTTTACATTTTGATGTTTCCTCTTAATGAAACAGCTGTGGTCTTTGGAAGTCTGGGTGCCTCAGAAAGAAACTCTGGAAAAATGAAGTCCTGAAGGAGATGGTTACTCCTTTGCCCTTTGTCACTATTACAATGTCACAAATCCAACCTGCATGTAGTTCAGTGCAGAAGCCAGCACAGTGTGGTGGATGAAGAAGGATTTCAGAGTTTCTTTACATGCATGGGAGCCTACAGGCCTGGATTAAAGTTCAAGCTTTATCTGCTCCTTCTGCACCCTTAATTTTTGAAAGTTGCTTGATTACTCTGAGGTTTAGTGTTCTCATGTGTAAAGGGGTGTAATGATAACAACACACCCAAGATTGCTATGAGGACTGGATAAATTAAAGAATATAGGCTACCAGGTTGAAATAAGCCAGCTAACAAATCTTTTTCTTGCTTCTCTGGCCCTCTAATATATATTGTGTCCTTCAATTTGAAATAGACTGTTTCCAAACCTGACTCTGTGGTTTAAATTTTTAATATTCATAGAGCCCTCATTAAATCAAACAAGTTTATTATTTTGTATATTCTTCCTACCTAGAATTACTGGGAGAGGAATAATAATTTTTGAAACCCAGACTTTCTTAGGATCCTGAAAGTTTAACTGTGTATATATGGCAACAATACAATCTATTTTTTATTTGTGATATAGAAGCATCCATTGCAAAATATAATTATAAGTAATATTACATTAGGTATCCTACAGCCTTATAGTTGACAGGTTTTGTCGACCAATTCTCCATACAGACAAGCATTATATGAACTATATAAAACTCCCTTTTGTAAGGCAGAAAGTTTAGTTGGGATCAAAGGTCAAAGATACAAAACAGAATAAAGCAACACATGATTTGGTTGTATAGGAAGACCAGGGAAGACATTATTGAGCATCAAGCAGATGTTTTGGCACGGGCAGGTGTTTTCACGGTCAAGGAAGTTGCTGAACCTTTTTCTTGAAGGGAATATTAGATTTAGTTGGATGGGAGAAGAGGCCACATTATTTATTATAAGCTGGAGGAATGATGTGAGCAAAAGAATTGGTAATCTTTAAGATCAATATCTGGAAATAATGGTGATAGGTGCTAGATAGAAAAGTTTTAAATGTGAACATTTAACTTCAAACTATATTAGTGACAGATGCCATAAGTAATACTGCTCTGGTGCTATCAACCAGCATGTCTGCAGAAGCCATCCTCTAGGGTGACTCCCAAAGATCACTGCCTCGTATCCTTGTGCAGCCTTTCTTTCATGTAACAGGGCTACCCTGTATCACCATAGGACACTGCTGAAATGAAGGAGTATGATTTTGGGGGCTAGGATGTAAGAAAACATTACAGCTTCCATCTTTCCCTGACTTGGTTCATCAGCTCTAAATCAGATGTTGTGTTCTGAAGAGACTCAAGCAGCCCTGAGAGAGACAGGCTCACAGGACAAAAGAAATAAAGCTTTCCACCCACAATTATGTAAGTGAGCCACAGTGGGACCTCATGCTTTTGCTCTAGTCAGATAACTGTAGCCCCCATGGACATCTTCACTGTAACATCATTAAAAAAAAAAAAAAACCCTGAGCCAGAACCACAGAAATAAGCCACTCCTAAATACTTGACCTTGAAACTGAAATCATAAATGTTCATCATTTTAAGGTGTTAAGAATTGAGGAAAATAGTTATGTAATAGTACATCATAGTTACAATGCATTTTAAGCATTTACTAATGCCAAGGTAAATTGCTAATCATCAGGGTTGGATCTAGAGTGAGGCAAGTGAGGCCCTCAGGGGTACAAAATCCTAAAAGAAACTCATGGGGTTATGCACATTTTGTGCTCTAAGCCCCTCAATTTTCTTACTCCTCACTCTGATAATCATTGCATGGAAATACAAACAAAAAATAATCCTTACCAATCACTACTGCGTGGAAAGATAGGCAATAAATTGCTGATGTCATCAAGGAGCTCACATTACAAAGTTCATGGACAATTAGATCCTCCAGAGTGGAGGTGATTAATTCTGATTTTGACATGGAGGTTCATGCAGAAATTGATTTTGAGTTGGGCGTCAGTGGATATACACAGTCTCAATGTCCAGGGGGAAGGGAGTGGAAGCAGAGTGTGTTTCAGGCTAAAAGGGACTGGAGACCCAAGGCACAGAAGAGACACTCCAGATCAGGTTCAGGGACTCTCACTTTGCCAATGTGTTTAAAATGTTGGGCTGTGGGACAGACCCAGTGAGAGTGTTGGAAAGTTGAAGCTCGAGCCAGAAGGGTTTTTTACTGTCATACTAAGGAGCTTACCTGTTATTCTGCAAATATTTAATGATTATTTCTGAACAAGAAGACGATAGGGCCAGATCCAAGAGTTTGAAAACACTTTTATTGTGATAATATTATCTAAAACATATGTGACATAAGAATTATCACTTAACTTTTGTTGAATGTCTAATTCAGTGGTATTAAGTACATTTACAATATTGTATATCCATCACCACTGTCCACCTCCAGAACCATTTCATCATCCCAAACAAAAACTCTGTACTCTTTAAACAGTAACCTTGTACTCCCTTTGAAGTGCTGGGTAACCACGATTCTCCTTTCTGTTTCTGTGAATCTCTATTCTAGGTACCTCAAATCAGTGGACTCATACAAGAATGGTTCACTTAGCATAATGTCCTTAAGGTTCATCCATGTTGTGAGAGAGGCAGCATTCCATTCCTTTTTAAGGCTGGATAATGTGTTGTATTTCTGTATCACATTGTGTTCATCCACTCAGATTCACTCTGAAAGATCCTTTTGCCAGTGATGTGGAGGACAGATGGGTAGAGAGCAGAGTGAGGGACCCAAGGTTGGATACTCTTCCAATGACTCTCAATGAGAGATGCTTAATGAGATAAGTGACAGCAGGGACGGGAAGACAGGATTGATTTGATGAAAATTCAAGGGAATTTTCATTTATTTGCCTGGTATGAGCAAACCAGCACTGGAAGTTTCTGTTTTACCTGAGAGATGCTAATAGGCAACTTTTCAGAATTTTTTTTTCTTTTTGTAAAAAAAAAAAGGGGGAGGTGGTGTTAGTCACAGTGTTAAAATATCTATGTGTGATCCTGTTTCCAAACAAAGAGAGTAGCTATGTGAAGTCAATTCAGTACTGTCAATAATTAATAAATATTTGTGAATAAACGAGGCTTATGATATAATTTCCAGGTAGAAAAAGAAGCTGTAGTAATGGCTTGCCATAGTGTTATTTGGAATCACCCCAAAGTAAAACCTATATTCCACTACAATTATTCTGGTGTATGGTACAATCACTATGAAAAAAAGTACTAGTATGTAAATCTTGGCAAAGAAAGATGCTTTAAAATCATGCCATGATTGTTTTAAGCTCTAATAATTCTGTCTTTCGTAAATCTTCTATCTTTTGCTCATGGAAAATATTTCACTGATATAATCTTCTCTCTATCTCTCTCAAAGGTAAAACTCCTACTTCAGCATTATAGGTCCAACAGGCATCCAATAAATATTAATTGATGGTGATAATAACATCACCCAGGAGAGAGACAGAAAGTAGTATTTATTATTTTACATTACAAATGAGAAAATCGACACACAGGGATGAAATGACTCACTCAAGGTCACATAGTAAGTCAGTGGCAGGATTGGAAATAAAATGCAAGTCAGATAGAAGGGCATGCTATTATCCTCTCTGCTTGAGAAATTTCTCCACCCTTTTTCATTTTGCCTAATCAACCTTGAAAGTTAGTGAGAACAAGACCAGGGTTTTGAGTTTGTGAATCTATATAATACTTCTAGGGCTTGAAAACTCAAACCTGAGTTTTATTGCTTTGTTGGTTTTTAATTAGGTATTTTTTAAACATAGTCAATATCAGCTAGGTTAATGCCTTTTTATAAAGTTTATGATCATAAGCCATGGAAAATATCTTTCTCTTTTTCTTTCCAACTCCCAGCACAACCTCTTTCTCTTCCTCTTGCATCAGTCCATTTTAATAGGAGTTGTCAATGTTCTTTCTAAACATTTCAGAAATATCTTCAGTGGAAAATTCTGTACAGTAAAAATAATGCAGTCACATCAGAGTACGGAGCTATTCAGAGTCACAATTCCCCAGGTAAGCCAAGAAGATCCAAGTCTTTTTCTGGCCCTGCTAGCGCTTAGCTAGTTCACTGAGCCACTTCTTATTTCTGCACCTGCCTTTCTGTTGTCAAAAGAGGCAGAATTGCATTCTCTCTAAGATCTCTTCTTGATTAATTGTTTTTAACTGGAATGTATTTATGACAAATAAGTGATTAACCAGAAACTCTCTTCTCTGCATGTTATCATGTTAGTTACATACCAGCATATAGAATAAGCTAAGTGGGCACTCTTCCTACAGACAGAAATAAGCAAAGGAGAGTCCAGAATAGACCTTGCCAATAATGAAAGCAAAACAAAGGAAAACGTATTCACATTATGAACAAAGGGCTGAGTGCCCATCCCAAGCTGATGAAGAACCTGTGAATCCTGGAAAGGGCACCTTTATAAATGGGAAGACACCTAATACTAGCATACTCGCATCACCCAGGAGGGCTGCAAAAGTCTTTAAACTTAATGGTAAAGAAATGACCGAATATTCTATATACTTATGATGAAAATGATACTGGTCTTTTTAGTGCAGTAGGAGCCACTGCACTAAAAAGACTAGAAAGCCTAATGTGAAACTTCATGTACAGAATTAAAGGCTCTGATAGTAAATTCTGCTTTCTTTCACACACACAGGCACTACACTTAAAGTAAATCTCGGGTTCCTTTTCACTCCTTTGCATACCCTGTCCCTGGAAAGGGCAGTGCCTCATTCAACTGATAAATCCGAGAAGCATAACTTGGTGTGTCTAATTCAGCTCTGGCTTTTTCCTCTTGAGTGAGCTGCCCTCAGAGG